TCTCGGGGTCGGATGACACCCAGAGTAAGATGCTTGGAGTCCTCAAACACACATAATTTTTGTTTCATTCACCTCTTGCGGCACGGCAATTTTTCCTTTCCACGGCTTGTACGATTTACGAAAACGGACACGGCATGTTTTGATACCACCACAACTACCAACCAACACCACCAACAACACCAACACTGTCATAACACATTTCCTTCGCACACACTGGGTGGGGTTCTTCTGCTTCTTAGGTTTTATTCTCTGGGAGATGGGATGATTGTAATGAAAAGAGGTGGAATTTGGGATACTGTACGGCATCAGGGGCTCTGGGTTTCTTCTGGGTTAATCACCGGCTGGTTGGTTGGGGATTCGGATTTTAGGTTCACACTTTGGGTTGGCGGACACTTGTTTAATTGGATACCACAGGAGTTGATCAAAGAGAGATATGTTCTCAGGACACATCCTTGCCACAGGGTTAGGACGGCCCATGGACAGGAACGAGGACGAATACCTCACAAATTACGTTTAGCAACAGAACAGGACACACAGAACAGAACAATTTGAAAGGAGCCATTGATCGAGGTGGAGGGGCACTGGGGATACAGTGGGGAGGTGAATGGGTGGGGTTGAGGACAAAACCTTTTGTCCACTGGCAAGGCAATAATGGAACAAGGTGTTCTGTTTTTGTTTCTTGCAGGGCTTAGTAGCAGGAGAAAGCCAGAGGTAACAAATCAAGAGCTTTGCTAGAGTCAATGGTTTTGTCAGCACTTCGAGGCAAAGAGACAATGATGACAGCGATTGATGATGTGCTCTTTTGCGAAGCCAAGAAAGGATTGGACAATGAGAGGCGTTGCCTTGTCTACGTCCACAATGCAATGCTATATTTGGGATCAGATTCTCTGGGTCTTGGGCGACCGAATTTCCGGGCTCCGGGCTCCGGCCGGCTGGGCTATGTCTTGGTCTGCTGTGCTGTGCTGGACGGAGTACAGATTGCCGTGTAGAGAGCACCACATCCAATGACGGCGTGTTCATGTCGTGCCCTGAAATCGGCTATTGCCGTTATTTGATGACAGGCGAAATGACCGTTTGGCGATTGGCGATGGGTGCTTTGTCCAACCGTTGGCGTGTTGGCCCTGGGACACGGTGGTTTTGGTGAACGCAAGGGTCGAGATCTCGACGAAAGGGCGCGCTGCATGAATGCAATTCGGGGCAAAACGCGCACAACGGGGACACCTCGAGGTGGAGGTTGCCTGGTGCGCGCCCCAAACGCGCGGCTGCGCAAATCTGGTCCTGGTGGAGTCGTCGACGACGGCGGTTGTGTAGGGCTGGACCCGCTTTTCACCGAGTTGCCTGTCTCGACAACAGCTCAGGATCGTTTGGCTCAACTCCCCCAACCTGAAGAAACCGCAATGACTTGCAGTCCTCCACTGATTCTCGCTTCGGTGCACCTGATGACCTGTGGAAGCTAAAACGGATCGCAAGGCAGCAGGCACATTGGATCGGTCGATTTACCCTGAACATTCCTCGACGTATGAAGCTCCAGGAAGATGCCAGAAGACGGTGGCTTGCGCAAGCCCATCGAGATGGTGTGACCTGGGTGTGTCGATAGGAAGCGCTGCACGCCCTGCAAGATCCGGGATCGTCTTCGAGTCGGTGGTGAGCGACCGGGCCACGTTGATTCGGCGGCGGGTCGCGAAAAGAAGACTGTTTTGGGGCGGGCACTTTTTGAGTTCCAAAATCCCTTCGGTTGGTGTTGACGGTGGCCAGCAACCTCATGAATCTTCGAGATGTTCGTGTTGGCAGGAGCAGGCCGTCGGCTTGGGACCCGGGCATGCATTGTTGTGAAGCTGCCAAGAGTCAAAGCCCGCAACGGCTCGGGTCTGATATCCCGACCCCCTCCCTCCCTTCCATCTTCCGCCGTTTCTCTGTCCGCCACACTTTCGCATTGCCTCCGCGACAATGCGCGAAGGCAGCAGCCTGCTCGCTCAAGTCCTGGATCAATAAATACCTTGTGTTGCCCGCCTGACTTTTACCTCCCACCATCTTTTGATCCGAATTCCGGATTCGAAGCTTCTTTTTGCGGGACTCACACGACCGAAACTCATTCCTCAATTTCGGCAAGCCCTCCCATATGATTGACGCCCAACCCGAGCCGCCCTAGCATTCCAGCCTTGTTGCGCCCCCTTGTCGCCCGGCAGCAGCCCAATTTACCGAAGCCCTTTGGCTCGCAGCGCCCGCCGCGCACACAACTTTTTTTCTTCTCTCTTATAACGTTATCCCCTCCGAGCAGCACTCGGGCACCGCTGCAGCACTCTCCCACGCCAACGGTCAAATCAGCACACAACACATCTTCCCCGCCGATCTAGCCTACATACAGCCTCGCCCATCGCCGCACCCTCAGGATTCCTGCCCTCTGCCACCATGAGCAGCAGAGCGTCTGTTAAATTCCGGGAGTCACCCACGGGTGGGTCCCACTACGAGCACCAGAGATCCGACAGTGGTGTCGGGTCTTTCTCAGACACTGACAGCCGCGCTTCAGAGGTCGAGCACAGCTACCTCACTCCCAACTACGAGGACCAGGGCATCTACACCATTAGCCGGGCCCTCGAAGCCAGCCAGCAAGATGCCAAACAGTGGAAAGGGATGGTCCACGAGCTGCAGGAGAGCCTCAAGAAACTCCGCACGGAACTCGAGACCACCAAGGCCCACTTGCGCGGGCGAGACACTGAGAAAGAAGAATTCGAACATGCGATCGAAAGACTCAAGCAGAAGAATGAGATCCTCAAACAGAAGAACGAGACCCTCCAAGACAAGAACGAAACGCTCACCGACACCAACAACGAACTCGTCGAGCAGATCGCGCAATTAGAGGACAAGGTCAAGGAGCTCAAGAAAACCAACCGGAAGAGCAGCGGAAACTCGACATCGTCCACATCCAGCGCCACCGCCGTCGAATCAGCCGACGAGAAGACCGAGAAGAAGAAGCGCAGCGCAAGCAAGCGGAGGCCGGAGAAAGAGAAGGAGCGCGGGCGCGAGAAGGAGTCCAAGGAGCGCGAGCGCGAGCGGCGCAAGGAGAAAGAGCGCATTCAAGAGGAGCGCGCCCAGGAGGAGCGGCTGCGGAACCGGTTCAACGGTCGCGCCGGCGAGGAGAGCGACGCGCTCAGTTCCAACTCGTCGGGCAGACCCCATCGCGGCCCGCGCGAGACCTACATCGAGCCACTCGGCCACTCGGCGCCGCGTCCGCAAGCGCCCGCGCCTCCCGCACCGGCAAGACAATACCCGACCTACCACCAGAGCCACCGCGAGCCCTTCGCCAGCACCGCCCCGCGAGCGCACCACCCCACCGTCTATGTCGCCGACGACTTCAACACCTACGGCGCGGTCGAGGACGAGGACGCGTACCGCGTGCCTCGCAGCACCCGGCACCAAAGGTGATGCGCCCTCAATCCCCAAACACGCGACACGATGCGCCCGCCAGCAGCAGCATTGGTTGGCCCCGGGTTTTGCATTCTAGACGTCCGCCAACCGATTGGACTGGTCCTCCGTACCTGCACCAGCAAGCACCCTGCAGCCTGCGACGCTGTGATGCGAGCATCGCGATTCGGCCGCCCTGCGCCCCCTGTTTGCCCGTCCGTCTGTCGGGCCGCACTTCCCTCTCTTTTTTTTTTTTTTTAGACGAAACCCTTCGCTGATGCCCAACGGTGCCCCACCTCAACCTCAGCGTCGCATCCATCCATTCACCCCTGGCACACACACACACACGCACACACACACACATAAATCATGCATTTTCCGTCAAACCACGGAAAATCTCCCAGAGGCCTCACTTTTTTCGTCAAGGGCCTCCCTTTAATCTGCGCCGCACCAGCCAGCCAGCCAGCCCGTCAGCACCAGCCACAGCGCCAGCACACACACCAAACGCGACCCAACAGGGGTCCAGTTCGGGATCAGCTCCGCCCCTTCTTTCAAACCATCGGATCTCCACTTCAGTCGCATGGCCAGCGTGCTACCCCGCCCCGAACCCGTTCCTGGCACGCCAGTGGAGACTTCTTTTGGTCCCGCCCGCTCGGAAAGCCAACGTCACTGGGGCTCCACGGTGGACTCTCTCTCTGGGGAGCTCCACATTGTTCTTTTTCCATTTCCATGGACTGTCACATGTTTTGGTTTTGGTTTTGGTTTTGGTTTTGGTTTTATTCTCTCGGTTTTTGTGGATCTTGGATATTCTTGTCTTGTCTAGTCTTGTGTCTCAGGTTTTGTTTCTTGTTTCCGTCATATACCCCCTTGTTGCATGTATCAACCATACCACATTTACGTTGTACTTTTTCTTTTGGCATGTATGTCCCCTTCTCCTCCCCCTTGGAATGGAATGGAGGATTGGGACGGACGGATGGATGGGTTTGGAAGGAAGGAAGGAGCTCACTGCTCTTGTGATGGGATGTTATGAACAGGGTGGTTTTTCCATTGGGTTGCATCATCATCATCACCATCATCATCACCATCATCATCATCATCAGCTGCTATAGACTTGTTTGGGAATGCCTACGTAGGTTAGATAGACTTTTTTCTTTCTTTTTTTCCTTTGGATGGTTTAATTGAACCCTCACCGGCAACGGCAACGGCTTGTTTTTTTGTAAGGCTTTTGAAGGGATTTGTATTATGCATGCCGTTGGTAGGCATCGATGGATTGGGGTTCGAAATTTGGATTAAGTAGGGATCTACCTGCCTCACATGTGGTGGAGAGTGATTGATAGAGGCAAGGGCTTGCAGAAGGGAACTGAGGAAATACAAAAAGTTTTTCTTTCTCGCAATTCTTGGTTCTGAACTTGCTGTGCTCGAGTGTTATGAAATGCGCAATGTGCAACTTAGAACTGAGAGAGCTGTGGAGAACACCAACACAGAAAACCTGTCAACGAGTCGCATCCACCCACCAGCAATAGAACGAAGAAACGACCAAAAGAATATCAAGTCGCCGGCCCAGACAAGGAAAAAAAGATCTTAAGCCATGTATAGGTCTCTCCCGCCGGGAATTGAACCCGGGTCTCGAGCGATGTCGACTTGGATGACAAGCTCACATACTGACCACTATACTACGGAAGAATTGTGGATGTGGACATCCACCGTAGCTTGGCAGAGAGTCTGGATGGTGGAATTAAGGATGCGATGGCTCCCATTGATGGAGGATGCAAAAATGGTGTTCGGCACACAGCACACAAAGATATGATCGTATGTTGCCGAATTGACATAGCTCAACAACAAGTCCGCTGTTCATATCTCCATTCAATTGCGACCCCCTAATATGTCGAGATGACTACCAGACCACCACCATTGCCTCTCTCCCAAACCGAATCCCCCTCAACTCCCGACCCCTAAGCAGCCGAACCACCACCACCACCACCACCACCACCACCACCATCAACCTTTTCGCTCCTCCATCCTTCCCCGCAACCGCAGCCTCCTTATTATCCCTACCGCCCTCCTTATCTCCCTCCCCGTCCACCCCTCCTCCTCCCACCTCTCTTACTCTGCCCTTCTCCAGCATTACCACCACCAGTAGTCTTCTCCCCTGCGGCTGCGGCGGCGGCAGGCCCAGTAGGCGCTGCCGGCAGAGCAGTGCTCTGTCTCGCGGGAGCAGCAGCTGGAGCTGGACCACCAGCAACACCACCACCACCCTCCCCTGCTGCTGCTGCTGCCGCTGCTGCTGCTGCCCACCCCCTCCGCCCCCCATCTCCTTCCTCTCAAGCACCTGCACAGTCGCCTGCGCCACCACAACCGGACTCGCAGCCATCGCCCTCGCCAGCGCCCCGCTCTCTGCAAAATCAACGTATGCAAAGCCCTTCTTCCGATCAATTTCACATTGGTCACCACCCCAAAGGCTTGCAGAGCCTCTTTGAGCAAGGGCTCGGTCACGCCCTGGGAGTGATTGGCGTGTTTTATGAAGGCGCGGGTTGAGCCTTGGGCTGGGGTTGGGGTTGTATGGTTTGGGTGGGAGTAGGGGTGGGAATGGTGGGTTTTCTGTTGTTGTTGTTGTTGGAGGTGGGGGTTTGGGGGCTGTTGATGGGGTGGTGGATTTGGGGCCTGTTGGGGGTGGGATGGGAGGGTGTTGCGGTGGAGGGGGCGGAGGGGCGGGGGAAGAGGGTTGGGATGGGGTTCACGCTTTTTGAGGACGGTAATAGGAGTTTTGGCGGGGGTTGGGGCGGGTTTAGTTTCTGGCTTGGTGTCGGCTTTTGCCTTGGTGGTTTCCTCCGCGCCGCCGCGTTTCCGGTTTCTTGACCGGCCTGAAGCAGGCGGTTGGGCCTTGGATGAAGTGGATAAGGTTACGGTCTCGGCGGGAGTGGCCGGCCGTGAGGGTGCCGGGACCGGTGGGGCCGGTTTAGCGGCCTCTTTCACAGCGGTCGCTTTGGCATCTGCCTCTGCCTTTGCGGCCTCCTGGCGGGCTTTGCGGTGGGCGTTGCCCGGGCTGAGACCCAGATCCCGCTGCAAGATCCGCGCAGCAGCTGCTATCCCCGCTCTGCGGTTCTTGGATGGCGGCTCCTGGGCTTCAGGCTGTGTGCTGGAGCGAGCAGCAGGCTTGATCTGGGCAGCCACAGCTTTCGCGGCCTCGGCAGCAGCTTCGGCAGCAGCAGCGGCCTTTTTGGTCAGGATCCTGACCGACTCCTTTGGTCTCTCCAATACCCTCTCAGATGCCTTCTCCCTCTCATGCCTGCCGTCTCTGGTCCTCCTCTTGGGCTCTTCTGGTGGCGGAACTGCCTTGCCCTTCACTACCTGCGAATCCTGGCGAGCATGCTGCTTCGCGATCTTGGCGGCAGCAATCTCCTTTGCCTTGGCGGCCTTCCTCTCCTTGAGATACTCGACTAGTGGCGTGGTCGTTGTCTTCTCCTTCGTCTCGTCGCCTGCTTCGTCTGCCGCCTCCTTTTGTGCGTCGGGATTCGCCAAGGCCTCGAGGAAGGCCATGAACTCCGGGTCTTGATCGATGGTGCCCTGGCGACCGTCCACGCGCTTCTTGTCGCTGGGAATCTTCTTGTAAATGGAGAACTCAACGCTGGGCGGAGACACGAGGCAGGGGGTCGTTGAATGTCTCCTTCGCGTCCTCCCACTTTGCGCCTTGAACGGTTTCGAGGAGTGCTGTCAAGTAGTCCCGTCGAATGACGTGGAGGTATGCGCGCGAGGGTATGGAGGGCTTCGAGGGGCTGTAAAGTCTGTGTCAATGCTTGCAAGTAGCAAATCCGAGGAGAAGAGGACTGACTGCTTCGAGACCTTTCCAGCCAGGTAGGAGAACCAATCGACCTTGCCGCGCCCGACTCTCCATTCGTCGCCCAAGATGGTCACAAACTCGTCCTCGGTCAGGCCCGGCGGCAAACGGCGGACCACCACCTTTTCGCCCTGCGCCGGGGCTTTTATCCTCGGGGCCCTGGGCGCATCGTTCGAGGAATGGCCGGCGGTAACTCCATTTGGTCTCCTTGACAGGAGCTGCGGGCCGCTCATGGTAAAAAGGGGGTGCTCCTGTTATGTGTGATGTTGCCTGCTAGAGAAAAGGTTGCCGGTGTAATGATTTCGCTTGAATCACAAGAAGCGGAAGTACAGATCGATGGATGCGGGTCGAGGTGGATGGGTGGTGTTGGAAGGCTGGAGGTTTGATGAACGGGTGGAAAGTGCTGGCGTCCACAGTAGTTTCGGGGTACGCAAAGATCGCGAGTTCTGCGTGGCTTTAGTGAGCTCGGATGAGGGCTAATGGTATTTTAAGGTTGGTATCGGAGTCGTGGAGCAGTGTAATCTGCGACTCATAGCTCTGTTCGAGCGATGTGCCGCTTCCTTCTGATTATGGATGAAGTTCGGTTCGAGACCGATAAGCAGTGTGGGGGAATGCTTATCGTGCGCTGTTGACGTGGGGCAGCACGAGCTGAAAACACCACCTTCCTTGGCACGACAGGGACCTTCCCACTGAAGACAGTGAAGGACGCCCTGGAAGCGCAATCGGACGCGTAAATCTCGGCTGAACGCTGCCGGACAACCTCCCCGCTGCCTGACCTGTTTACTTCCATGTCCAGGAGCTTCTCATCATATTGAATTGGCAACACAATCCCTGACAGAACAACTACCATACCTCATATTCGAATCGTGAACTCTAGGATCCGAAACTGGCAGTCGGATTTGCCGCTACGCCTTCACACCCCTCAATCTCCAAGTACAAAGCGACCCTAGTCTTGGGCATCGAAGCCCCTCATCCCACCTCCATCTCCACCATCACCCTAGACAACAACACCCTCCCACATACAACACACACACGCCATGGCCAGCGTACCAAAGCCCGGCCCGGCCAACCTCCGGCCCGGTGCCGGCCTTGACGAGTGGCTCGAAGAGGCCAAGCAATGCCACTACCTGCCCGAGCCCGTCATGAAGCAGCTGTGCGAGATGGTCAAGGAGGTGCTGATGGAGGAGTCCAACATCCAGCCCGTCGTCACCCCTGTCACAATATGCGGTGACATCCACGGCCAATTCTACGATCTGCTCGAGCTGTTCCGCGTCGCCGGCGGCATGCCCGGCGAGTCCAATGTGCAGGCGCCCTTGACGAGCACAGCCGTCATCACATCCGACGACATCGAGCCGCCATCAGAGATCACAAATCCCAAGCTCAAGGGCAAGGTAAAAAATGCAGGGACACCGGGAGCCGATGACGACGACGACGCCACTATGGAGATGGACGATGAGACAAGTCCATATTCAGCACCGCCCGCGGATTCGGGTGTGCAGTCGGCCCAGACCCGCTTCGTCTTTCTCGGCGACTTTGTTGATCGCGGCTACTTCAGCTTGGAGACATTCACACTCCTAATGTGCCTCAAAGCAAAGTGAGAGGACCAGCCTACCGCATACCCTTGAACAACAAGCTGACACTACACCTCAGATACCCAGACAGGATAGTCCTCGTCCGCGGCAACCACGAATCCCGCCAAATCACACAAGTCTACGGCTTCTACGAGGAATGCCAGCAAAAATACGGCAACGCCTCAGTCTGGAAAGCCTGTTGCCAAGTCTTCGACTTTCTCGTGCTGGCAGCTATCGTCGACGGAACCGTACTCTGCGTGCACGGCGGCCTGAGCCCCGAGATCCGCACCATCGACCAGATCCGGGTAGTCGCGCGGGCACAAGAAATCCCCCACGAAGGCGCCTTCTGCGACCTAGTGTGGAGCGACCCCGAAGACATTGACACATGGGCTGTCAGCCCGCGCGGCGCCGGCTGGCTGTTCGGCCACAAGGTCGCCAATGAGTTCAACCACGTCAACGGGCTCAAGACCATCGCGCGCGCTCACCAGCTGGTCAACGAAGGCTACAAGGTAACCCCCTCCACCCCCACACCCCATTTCCCACCCCTAACAACTCTCACAGTACCACTTCGCCGAAAAATCCGTCGTCACCGTCTGGTCCGCCCCAACTACTGCTACCGGTGCGGCAACGTCGCCTCCATCATGACGGTCTCGCCCGACCTCGACACCCGCTTCTCCATCTTCTCGGCCGTACCCGACGACCAGCGCCACATCCCCGGCGGCCGCCTGCGCTCAGCGACTACTTCCTCTAGAAGAAGGAGGAGGGGACGTTACTGTGCCGATGACGGCGGCCGGGGGTTGGGAGTGTGAGGGTGTTGGATGGGAGGTGGGAGGAGGATGGCTGGTGCTGGCTGGCCGGATGTGCATGGACTAAGGGGTGGGGTGTGGGTGAGGAGAGACGGGGAGGCGGCGTTGATGTTGGGAGGGCGAGACGTTGAAGCGAGACGGTTGAGGAGTCAGAGACGAGGAAGTGAAGATGGTAGCGGGGGTGTGGTTTGTGAGTTGGAAGTGATACATTTTTGTAGCGGGTTAGGGTGGTTGGGTTTTGGTTGTTGTGTTTATGTCCGTATTTTGTCCTTTGTGTCGCATGTCCTTTTCTTAACGACTTGGGGCCTGACTGGGGAAGATGATGACGTTACGTTTGGGTTTGTTTGCCAGAACAGGGGACATGTGGCATGGGGGGGGGATGAGTATGGAGGACGGATCGAGCGAACCATGGGAGGGGCATACATGCGATGGGACGGACAGACGGAGGGACGGCAGCGTCTTGTAAATTAC